ACACCGTCGGCGACCTAGTGAATTCATCGGAGGAGATCAGTTAGTCGTTTCGGGAGGGACAGAGTCCGGCCAGAGCAACGATGAAAACTCATTGCCAGGTCCTGCTAAACTCCCTACTCCTGGTCCTGGGTTCAGTGCAGGTGGGCCCGGACGACGTCACCATGCCCATCGACGATCAGCAGCGGTCTCTGGTGTAGACCTTGCAGAAATAACTAAAGCGCTTGCGCCGAAACCGGCAGGAAGTACACCGCCAACCCCAGCAGACCCAAGGCGTGAAAACGGCGCACATGAGGAACAACACACGCCCGTCTCCTACTCAGCGATACCTCTGAGTCGACCAACACCTCCAGCCTCTCCCCGGATTCCGTTCGCTGGAAGCTCGCCCAATCGGGTTAACAATGAGTCCCCAGATCGATCGCCTGCTAGTGGACAACCAGTTTTGAAGTCGAAATGTTCTGGACCCATTGGCTCCCACCAGTCACAACCGGTTGCTAGAAATAGCGGAAAATCTGGCAAATGTGGTTCTCTCGCAGCTAATGAGGCGGCGCCCTCTGCTCCTGAAAAGCTATCCCCTAGACCCAGGACTGCCGATGCGCTCTTGATGTTTGATCTCGGTGGAAATGCAGTCTCTGGCGATGTATCGCAGGTGAAGCGACCGTCCTCTGCTACTGGACACTCTCGGGTCCACAAAAGTCTGTCTTCTGGACTTCTTGATGCAGCTATTGGGAAGAAAAATCGAATTGGTGACGACAGTCACTCAATGAACTCTTCTCGGCGTTCATCATCCACGGGGACATGCTCGGATACATCTGGCGATGACCATGATGAATCAGCTGAATCTCGTGCCTCGAAGAAAAAGCGATCCAAGACTAAGAAGAGGCAAAAGAAGGTACGATCTTGGGCAGGCTCGATATTAATCCGTAGCAAGGGCAAGCGGCATCATCCGAAGAAGGAAACTGGGGGAACAAACTCTGAAGTTCATCCACCGGCCATCACCAGGACCAACTCTGACCTTGGTTCGGGGCTGGAAGTCGATTTTGACGATGATAACATCGTTGTTATCCGCACTCCCACAAATCCCAACGCCCCCGAGTTGAGCCGGGCGGACCTGGAGACTAATGCGCCGCCGTCATTTGAAGACTCCTGGAAGCCAAGGAGCTTCTACGAGCAGGGCGTACAGGATGATACTCTCAGTCCAGTCATCGACTTGGATGCAGCTCTAGGACCCTTCAACACACCTGATATGCGTGCCGATAGAGTTGTCGGGAGTGGATTTTCTGCTGTATCCCGACGTATGTACAGTGGTGGACGACGAGGTGAATTCGTCGGGCCTGAAATGCGCTATCATCGACGTGCAGAAAGTGCTCCGGAGATGCCTCCTTTCGATCGCAGTTTTCTCAACAACCGCCTTATCAATTCCTCCACTCTGGAAAATCCTGATGTTTTCTATGAGGAAGAGGAGGACGCCTTTTTGGCGGCTACTAGTGAATCACCGAAGGAAGAAGATCAGGCAGCCTCCAAATCTAATGTCGTCATACAGCCCGATAATTCAGACCAGATAACAGTGCATAGCAAGGCCACCTCCGACACGTTGACTCGAAGGTCGGCGGATGCCGGATGCAGCACAGAGCGAGCTGGCCTTGGCATCCAGAACGACGAGGGAACAGGGCCAGAATCCTCCACCCCTGCTCCTGCGAGCCAGGAGACCTCTGGGGATCCCGGAGTATCTGCGCATGAGAGGGCTGTTGACCAGCTCCACAGTGCTAAGAATCCTTTCACAAGCCACCCAAAGAGCCCGGTGGAAATCATCAAACACGAGAATTGGCCGAACAAACCGCCAGTTCCCCCCAGTCCTGAGATATCACCAAGGTTTCTGCCTGCTGACACCCGGCCGGCGACGTCTCCTCTGGAACTCACTGGCACCATACCCCAATTTTCCCTGCAGAGTAGCTGTTCGCTCTCTCAATCTTCCTTCCCGTCTCCGGACTTCACTTTGTCTTCTTCCGATGCTCCTCGCTCTATCACAACAGCTTCGACAACAGATCACAACTTCTCCAATCCATCGTACAATCCATCTGTGGATTATCATCAGGCTTCTGTGGATGATGTGCCCTCTTTGACCAGCAGTGTGTCGACCACAACAAATACGTTGAATCGGTTCTCAGGAACCTTCTTCCATCGTTCTCGACTTTCCACTGACCGCTCAGCTTCTTTTTCTGCCGCCGGTACTCGCCGCAGCAGTCAAGCTCACAGCCAGAAGAGGTCAAGCTTGGCTAGTTTATCCAAACTCGTTGGTGGTCCTCATGGCGAGAGAAGCAAACTGAGTTACGAGGAAAAGCCCCCAAGTGATGTTCTCGAGAAGTCGAAGAAGAAGAGCCGTCGTATCAGCCGTCTCGTGCATTTTTGGAGGACGAAAGACAAGGAGAAGATGAACGCGGAGGCTGTTCGAGAAGATCAGCGGTCATGAACAGTTTCCGCCACTGCAACGATTTCACTTTAATTCTGTACATATTGATCCACATTATGAACGATGCAGTCCGCATGGTCTTTGCAGGTTCATTCCTTGCGGGGCCATTCCAGCCTTTCTGCTACTTTCCCATTTCGGTTGAGATTACTGACGAATCTCTTTTCTTCGGCATGCCTTTTAAGCGTAAGAGTATGATGCTCTGTTTCAATTTCTTGTCCCTCGTTGATGTCCGATTGTTATTATGGGCAAGCAATGCCGTTGCATTTACTTCTGTTCATTCATTATTAGCCTCTTTTCTTCCTTCTAATCTCTGGCGGTCATTTGCGCATTCGCCAACATCGTTGCACTGACGGTGGTGACCACATTATATGGGCGCTTCTGTTGTTTCTTGTCCCATGATGGATATGCCTCTCGCATTCATCCAGGCTTTTCAATTATCTTTGGCGTTACAAACTGCACATTTGTGAGGCTACAGGTCAGTGAATCTACACTCCAATCGTCGTTGTCAAATAGGAGACAATTACATTTCGAGAGCTTGTTGAGGTCGATTGAAGGCCATGTAGTTCTTGGACGTAGGTCTGCATTACGAATTATGTCACGTCTGTTTCCTGCAGACTATCTTATTTCGAATGTGATACTCGGTTCACAATGTAAGAAACATGATGAATATTATTAACGTTGTAGACAGTAAACTTCAGGTTGTCAAGCCGACATAAATCTAGATTTAAATCGGTGGATGACGGGCCGAATACCAGGCAAAAAATACATAACCAAAAGCCAGCCAGCAAAAGGAAAAACAGCAACCCAATCAAAAGCCGCAATCTGCGACAATATTCTAGGATATGGGACAACCAAGATCAGGTGCTTCAAAGAAATCCACCTCAAAGAACCCCCAAGGTCGTGACAATCGAAAAGAAAAGAAAAGGCCGCAGCAGAGCAAGCAGGAAACAGCACAGTCACGACATGACCAGACCAGTCAGGATGGGAATCAGATCGATCTATCCGCCACCATCCCGCTGACACTCCAGCAACTGCTGCTGAATGTATTCAAGACGGCTTTACTTACAAGTGACGGGCCGCATAACCATAACCACGACCATGACCATGGCCATCAAAATGAACATAGAGCACCAACGCCGAGGGCTGAGACTGACAGCGAACCTGAGGCTCAGACAACCGCGCCCGCGGGAAAGGAAGAATTAGATATCAAGTCTCTGGTCCAAACTATCAAGTCCCATTTGTATAATCGGGACTTTGACTCGGCGTTTACTGATGCCGACGAGGACCTCTTGCGCGCTTACGCGCTGCGATGGAGTGCGTCCCGCGCGCTGGGGTATGCGGGGATCTTCAAGTCTGTGTTGCGGACGTTGCTGTGTGGAAGTGGTGGAGCTCAGATCCAGACCCGGGCGAAGGAGACGAGCCATATCGTCTGTATTGGGGGCGGGGCCGGTGCTGAGATCATGGCGCTTGCGACTGCGTGGCGAGATATGATGGACGAGACCGCGCTCTCGGATGGGGTTGGTACGGTTTCGTTGGAGGACAAGAGCGGCGGTCAAGGTCAAAATCAGGACACGGCTACGGCTGCGACTTCGTTGCCACGGCCAGGGCTGGCTGTTACGGCTGTGGATATCGCCGACTGGTCGAGTGTTGTGGACCGGTTGGCGCGGACGATCCGGTCTCCCGCTGTTCCGGGCACAAAGTCGCATCCTGCGCCATTACAGTCGGAGAGGGCAGACAGCTTCGTTGTCAGATTCGAACGCGCGGATGTCCTCTCGCTCGCTGAGGAGGGATTAAGGAAGATACTGCATTTAGACGACGCAGCCGCACCGGCCCGCACGGTCCTGGTTACGCTCATGTTCACGCTTAACGAGCTCTTCTCGACATCTATGGCCAGGACGACGGAGTTCTTGCTCCGTGCGACGGATCTGTTGACAGCGGGGACTGTCTTTCTGGTTGTTGATAGCCCGGGTAGCTATTCGACTCTGAAATTGGGAAAGTCGGCGAAGAAGGATGCGGAGGCGGATGGCGCCTCGGCGGCGCCGCAGGAGAGACGATATCCGATGAAGTTTCTACTAGATCATACGCTATTGTCGGTTGCGGCGGGAAAGTGGGAGAAGATCTGTGAGCAGGATTCACGCTGGTGGCGGAGAGATGCGGCCAGGCTGCGGTATTATGTTGGTGAAGGAGCGGGTTTGGAGGATATGCGGTTCCAGATACATGTCTATCGCAGGTTGGCTGATTAGGGATAGGCAAGCCAGATCACTATATGCGGAGGCTACGAGATAGGGTTATGACAATGATACCATATGTGGAACTTGTAGAGAGGAATGGATATACTATTGCTACAAGTAAAGCTATGAGTAAAGAGAAACAGAGGAACAAGCATACAGCATCAATTCGCCAGGAGATCATGCAAGCCCAAATCCCCGTCCTGTTGGGATTAAATGAGATCAATACAATAAAATGTCACATTAGGTGACCAGCCTCATGTCTTGTTTTCTTCAATCGCCCGGACTTCTTCATCCATCGTCCCTTAATTCCTCAGACCCAGCAGGAGACTTGTGCTCTTTCCACCCTCCTTGCCTTCGTTGCCTGGCAGGTACGTGACGTTGGGATTATTCGCCAGCGTCTGAGCAATCTCCTTTGTGGCATCGATCCGACGAATCTCAATAAGACCACTACCGGCTTTGGCGACGGCCTTGCTGATGATCTCGGCACTCTCGGCTTCACCCTCCGCACGGATAACGTTCGCCTGGCGCTCCTGCTCGGCTCTCTCGACAATGAACCGGGCACGCTCGGCGTCCTGCTGTGCGATCTGCTTCTGCTCGACAGCCCGTGTGAACTCCTTTCCGAAGGTCATGTGCGTAATGGAGACATCTTCCAGGGCGATGTTGAACTGTGCGGCACGCTTCAACAAGTCGGTGCGGATACGGTTCGAGACGGCCTCTCGTTGTGTGATGAGCTCTGCGGCGTCGAACTGAGCCACGATGGCTTTGAGGACTTCGTTTCCGATGGAGGGGAGGACACGCTCGTCGTAGTCGGTACCGTAGGTCTATCCTACATGTAAGAAAATGCCTCGGTTCAAGGCTTCGAGCAGCGTGGACTCACCTGGTAGATGACCGGGAGCTTCGGGACATCAGGGCGATGCAAGACTCGCAGGGTCAAGCTCACCATCTGCAAGTCCTTACTTCCCGTTGTAGTGGAGATGTTGCGAGGCTTGGTTCGAACATCATAGATAATTGCCTTCTGCAGCCAAGGGACCAGGAAATGTGTACCCTCGTTGACGACCTTCTCCTGGACACCGCTCAATCGGTCGAAGATGACTGCCCGTGTTCCACCGCGAACGTCGTAGATGGAAGCGTTGAAGATCATCGCACCCGTCGCCACGGGGATGGCGAGCCGGTAAAGATTGTACAGACCGTTAGCCGCCATGATGGATGAGATGGAATGTGATGGGAATGAGTCGTCAACACTAATAGAAGGAGGTCGTGTACTGCGGTCTCTCATTTGATGATGTCGGGCTTTTCGCATGCTGACCAAATCGGGACTAGCGCCGGACGCAGGGCCAAACCTCCCAACTTCGCCGTTTTGGCCCGAGTCGACCTCGTCTGTCTTTCTGCTGCTGTCCTCGCCCTGTGCTACTCATCAACGTTTGTTTTCTCTGCACTTTTCGGTCCTTCCGGCAATATTAACAATGGGTGGTTCTCTTGATCCTAAGAGCGGAATGTAAGTTCCCTCGAATTGCGGTCTCAGGCGGCTTTCATATCCCAACGATCCGTGGGCGGCTGTACTCCTTCATCAGAGGAGGACGGCGGCTGTCGACTCTTCTTTTCGTCCTCAATAGCCATTGACACAATATTGATTTATTGGATGCGCTGACAATATGTTTAATGTAGTTTTCTCGGCGACTGGGGTGACCTCGGTAGGTTTATGGACCCCGACCTCAACCTGTGAACAATTTACTGCATCACGACTCGCATTCGGATTTCGAAGACGCTTCGAGACCCTGAGACTGCTCTGAGCAAACTCGATTACCGCAGAATGCGACATACGATATCTCAGCCTGTGCTAATACTCCGTTTCTTGCTCCTTAGGTTGCACGACTCCCCAGCGCATTGCCACCTACTCCCTGTCTTCCAACCGTCAGCGCCCTCTCGCTGGTGCTTTCCACGCTGCCATCTTCAACACCTTCCGCAGATTCAGAGGCCAGGTTCTCTACGTCGTTCCTCCTTTCGTGGCCGCCTACGCCGCCATGAACTGGGCAATTGAGAGGTATGCGCCCTCTTGCCTTGCGTCTCACTGCGCTCCTTGGCTTCAAACCAGTTACTGATTGTCGCTCTGTCTAGAAACGAGTACCTTAACTCCAAGCCCGGCCGCCTGGCTGAGGGTGCTGAGGAATAAATGGATGCCTTTTCTTTACCTTGAAAATGAAAAGTGGGATCTGAATCAAGCCGTTGAAGTCAGGAGGGTGCTGTGTGATTGCAATGTACAGTAACTAGAAAGCAATCAATTGTTCTGTCTGTCTAGACTGCTTTTGGTAATGGTCGCGTCTGGTTATTGACTTTACGAAATCGGCATATTTGCCTATCGCCGCCATGGAAGTATCGCAATTAGCACTAAAATATGTTTGACAGAATGCTAGTATATTGTTGATATACAGAGCGAAAGTATGTAAGAGGTTGCGATATGATAGACTTCTTGACCTCTGTAGGTAATATCATGACTTTAGGACAACTCTTATTGGTTCAATTCAAGTTGTCCGCCGTCGCCTGATTTCTCAGGCTTCCGTCGACACTGCTATGTAGCGAGTGCGTCTAAACATCTTCGAAGACTCTACGAACTCCACTTAGGCTGCTCAGTAGGTATCATAGGCATCTTACTGCGCAGCGGTACAGTTCCACCCATGTTTGGTTCAGTGGCTGGGTTGGAGCAAGCCCGATCGGTTTTGGCTGAATGCCACTTCATATCCCAGGAGTCGCTCGAAGGAACCCTCTCGCTGGGGCATACTATCCCATGGACTGCAGCCGTAGGGCCGGATAGTTCGGACGAACCCCTGCATCTCTCCTCATGAGACTGTTGGTCACATACGGACGCTGCTGTTTGGCGGCAAGTAGGGACGTGTACGGGACGCCTACATATTGGTGGAGCGGTCAGACTTTGACGGATTGAAATCACATCCGAAAGATCGTCTGGACTATATTCCAATTCTGCATGACCCGAGAAATGGGAATGTACATCGTGTACAGTTTTCTTGCTGCTCGTGGAACGAATCCCGATCCACCTAGATGCCGAGGAGATACTACTTCCGATAGCTGAAATACATATCAAATTCATGTAGCAGCTTCCGATTGAAGATGCGTGAACCTTTGGCTAAAGGATAATTATGGACGAACTGCCCTATACTTGGACGATTGAACGGTAATCTCCAGGCAATTGAGGTCTTATTTTTGACAGGACGGGTGCCGCTTATCGCAGTATGAGGGTGCCACATATGCGGCAGAAGATGGTCGGTGTCATAACCGTCAATGTCACCAAGGAAGGGGAGGGAAACTAGCTAGCTATAGAAGGAGAAGCTGGTCAGAGGAGATGTCAAGAGGTAAAAGTCACATACAACTATGTACGTAGGGCACTTTTGGAGTATCCGCAATTATTGGAGTAGTAGAATGGCCCCACCGTGCCCAAGAAATCTCTCTCGGCCCATCAGAACAGAATTCTCAACGATACAAGAGGGCAAGGCAGAAAAATAGCACAGGAAGGGTAGACTAAAAGAAAGTGAAGAGAAAAAAACCTGCCCACATCTCAAGTCCCATCAGGCAGTCAGGCACCCAGGCCAACCTTCCCACCCCCCACTCCCGCATGCGATTCTTTTGCTTTTCTTTTGCTCCAAAGACTTCATTTCTTTCTTCTTCTCTGCGCCTGTGTCTTGCTTCTCCCTCTCCATCCTCTGTTCTTCGTCTTCATCCTCCTTGTCGACGTCCCTTCCACTCCATCACCATGTCCGAGATAACTCACCCCACTATCAAGGGTATGTTACTTTTTCTTCACGTATCGTCTATCGATCTTTATCGGTGCATCACCATCAGCCCCTCCATCACTTTGTGCAACTACCCCGCGTCAAGCACATCGCCAATAATTCCCATCCTATCCACCAATGGGTTCTCTTCAACCTAAATATACCTCAGTCTACTACCAATTGCTTTCCTGAACCGCTTGCTTTATGTGTTGTCTTGAATCAATTCCGCTGACAACACCTCAGATGGCTGGTTCTCCGAGCAGTCGAATATGTGGCCCGGCCAGGCCATGAACCTCAAGGTCAACCATATCCTGCACCACGAGAAGTCCAAGTACCAGGATGTCCTTGTCTTCGAGAGCACCGACTACGGTACCGTCCTCGTTCTGGACAATGTCATCCAGTGCACCGAGCGGGATGAGTTCTCGTATGCTTTCCCGCCCACCGGGCAATTGTTTCTGGCAGCTTCTAATCAAGTTTTCTTTGTCACTACAGGTACCAGGAGATGATCACTCACCTGGCCATGAACTCCCACCCCAACCCCGAGAAGGTTCTGGTCATCGGTGGTGGAGATGGTGGTGTCCTCCGTGAGGTTGTGAAACATGAGTCCGTCAAGGAGGCCATCCTGTGCGACATTGATGAGGTATATTCTATCTACAATAGATCTGAATGATGTCGATCGCTGACTTGTCAAGGCTGTGATCCGTGTCTCCAAGAAGTACCTCCCCGGCATGAGCATCGGCTTCCAGCACCCCAATGTCAAGGTCCACATCGGCGACGGCTTCCAGTTCCTCAAGGAGCGCAAGAACGAGTTCGACGTCATCATCACCGACAGCTCTGACCCCGAGGGTCCCGCCGAGAGCCTCTTCCAGAAGCCCTACTTTGAGCTCCTGCGCGATGCTCTCCGTGATGGAGGTGTCATCACCACACAAGGTTGTTCGTCGCCTTTCCTTACTCTCATCTGCCCTTTGTCACTTTACCTTCTCCCGTCATCTCCTCTTCTTTCCTCTCCTTTCTTTCCTCCCCACTTCAACCCCCCAAACTTATCTTCGTTATCTGTATTTCTATCTGTATCTGTATCTGTTTCTGTTTCTATCGAAAAACAAGAAAACGAAGCTGACTTGTCTACGTCCCAAACCACCCGACTCCCCGCCCGGGATCGGTTTGGGTTCGTGTTTTACCTCTCACAGCCGAGAACCAATGGCTGCATCTGTCTCTCATCACCGACCTCAAGAAGGCCTGCAAGGAGGTCTTCCCCGTTGCTGAATATGCCTACACCACAATCCCCACCTACCCCTCCGGTCAGATCGGCTTCATGGTCTGCTGCAAGGACCCCAACCGCAATGTCCGCGAGCCCGTCCGCGCCTGGTCCCGCGAGGAGGAGGAGCGTCTCTGCCGCTACTACAACCAGGACATTCACCGGGCCAGCTTCGTTCTGCCCAACTTTGCCCGCAAGGCTCTGGATGCATGAATCAAAATTACGCTTAGCATGTAAATGTAATTACTCAATGAAAAATGATGTTCTTCATGATATCAAGCTTTTGGATCTGCGGTGTATTCTCTTAAGGGACGTTCATACTGACTACTACTCATGAGCGCGATGAGCGACTATACTATGACATAATTGTATTTTGATCCTCTAAATCTAGAAGAGTTTCACCAACAACCATGGGGAGATAGGACCGATAAGACATTTTAAAAGTAACAGAAATTCGTCGAGCCGTAAACATGACACTAAGAAATGAAATCCATCATGACGCTAACGCGAGACTTCTACAGAATCTGCTCAAAGGCACGGTTGATGGGCGAGCGCACGGGCTGGCCCTTGTAGAAGTCGATGGTAGCAAGAGCACGTTTGCTAATGCCCTCAGGAGTGAACTCGAATTTCTAAAGAAAAACAAGTCAGTACTGACGTTTCATTGTATCAGGTGGTAATTTGTTAAGTCGAGTCTTACCTTGTAGACCTCCTTGTAGGGGCCGGAGGCACCGAAGCGGTTGAGACCGAACTGCTCGTGAGAGTAGCGCTCCCAACCCATGGTGGACAGAGCCTCAACTGACAAGACGGGGATGCCGTCGGGAAGGACCTTGAGTCTGTAGTCCTTGCTCTGAGCATCAAAGACCTCGAAGCAAGGGACGGAGACAACACGAGCGACGATGTTGTGCTTCTCCTTGAGGTAGGTGGCGGCCTCGATACAGATGCTAACCTCGGAACCGGTGGAGATGAGGGTGACGGCGGCGTTGGGAGCCTCGACGACGGGGTAGGCACCCTTCAGAGCAGCCTCAATGGTCGAGTTCTCGAGCTGAGGCAGGTTCTGACGAGTGAGGGCGAGGACGCTAGGAGTGTGCTTGGCAGTGAGGGCGGAGTAGTAGGCAGCGCTGGTCTCGTTGCCGTCGGCGGGACGCCAAACCATGCAGTTAGGGAGGGCACGGAAGTGAGCCAGAGTTTCGATAGGCTGGTGGGTAGGACCGTCCTCGCCCAGACCGATGGAGTCGTGGGTAGCGACGTGGATGACGCGGACGCGGGAGAGGGCGGACAGACGAAGAGCACCGGCGGCATAGGAGACGAAGTTGAGGAAAGTACCACCAGCGGGGATGATGGTGCCGTAGGCAGCAAGACCGTTCATAACGGCAGCCATGGCGTGCTCACGCACACCGTAGCGGATGTAGCGACCGGACCACTCACCGATGCCGTAGACCGGGGGCTGGAAGTCGACAGCGTTCTTCCAGCGGGTGTTGTTGGAGCCGGTCAAATCAGCGGAACCGGACAGGAGTTCAGGGATAACATCGTGGATCTTCTCGAGAACGGCCTCAGACAGCTTACGAGAGGCGACGGCAGCGTCGCTGGGCTTGTAGGTGGGAAGGCTCTTCTCCCAGCCCTCGGGAAGCTTGCCGGAGAGACGGCGGACGAGGTCGGCGTGCTCGGCCTTGTACTCGGTGGCGTACTTCTCGAGGAGCTGGTTCCAGGCCTGCTCCTTGGCAGCGCCCTCGGCGGCGTGCTTGTGGTAGAGGTCATAGACCTGCTGAGGAACGACGAAGCTCTGCTTGGGGTCGAAGCCGAACTTCTGCTTGACACTCTCGCAGTCATCGGCCTTGAGAGGGTTACCGTGGACACCACCGGTACCCTGAAGCTTGGAACCGAAACCAATGGTAGTCGTGAGACGGATGACGGTGGGCTTGTCGGTGACCTTCTTAGCCTCGCGGATGGCGGCCTCGATGCCCTCAAGGTCATGGTCACCATCCTTGACCCACACGGTGTGCCAGCCGTAAGCCTCGAAACGCTTCGTAACATCTTCGGTGAAAGCACACTTGGTGTCACCGTCTAGATAAGAAAAAATATTCCGATCAGTATTTAAGTTATATATCTTACTTTCTGTAAGGACTCACCGATGGAAATGTGGTTGTCATCATAAATGGCAATCAAGTTGCCGAGCTTCAAGTGACCAGCCATGGAGGCAGCCTCGCTGGCAATACCCTCCATAGCACAGCCATCACCGAAGAAGCAGTATGTGTAGTTGTTGACCAGATCATAGCCAGGCTTGTTGAAGACGGCGGCAGTGTGAGCCTGAGCAATGGCCAGACCAACAGCATTGGCGAAACCCTGACCCAGAGGACCAGTGGTGACCTCAATACCAGGGGTGTCGTGAGCCTCGGGGTGACCGGGAGTGATGCTATCAAGTTGCTACGCAGGATTAGCAAACGCTCATTGCTTATTCGATACTCGCGGAAGAATCATACTCTGAAGTTCTTCAGGTCGTCCATGGTGACATTGTAACCGAAGAGGTGGAGGAGAGCGTATTGGAGCATGCAACCGTGGCCGTTGCTGATGAAGAGCATTAGCAATTAAGTTCTTCCATTCTATATTGAGGAAGCTTACGAGAGAACGAAACGATCCCGGTTCAGCCAGTTGGGATTCTTGGGGTTGAAGCTCATGAACTTGTTGAAGAGGACGTGGGCCACAGGGGCCATACCCATGGGGGCACCGGGGTGACCCGAGTTGGCCTTGAAGGTGGCATCGACCTGAATGAGTGATTAGCAAGTTGCCTCAACAAATTGCTTTCCATGCCGTGAAGATGGAGCTGAGATATGGCTTTTTGATGAAAAACAGCCGTCATCCGAGCTTGTCCTCAACACTGAGCGGAGTGTTCCGCCGCCAGCTGTCATTTACAAGTCGGAGACAGCAGCATTTCAAACATCACCACCAACACCACCACCATCGACTTGGGTATTATAGAAGTATGGCGATATGGAAGGGGAACCAGATAGAGCATACCGCAAGAATACGGATCGTGTTGATAGCCAATTGATCCAGTTCGGTGTAACCCATGATTGCTAACTTTTTTTTATAATGTTAGATAATGTAAATGAAGAGGGGAGACGGGGAGGAAGGAGAGGAGATGGTACTTATTAAACAAACTTTCTTCTGGAAATCTTTTTGAGGAGGGGTTCAGGAGAAAGAGAGAGAGAAGGAGCAAGAAAAGGTTGCAAGAGGGGAGTAGAGTAGAGAGCTATGGCGAATGCTTACTACGAGTACGGAAGCAGACAGGTTGGAGGGGGAAGAGACAAGACAAGGTGGGGGGATGGAAAGGGTAATGATGTCGGCGGTGGGGCAGCAACTCACCGAATGCTCGATTGACGTTGTTGGGATGGTTAGCATTCCGTAGTCTTTGGGGTTTCCGACATCCATGATTTGCTATAAGAGTCGCCTCTGATGCATCATAACTCAATTGGTGCATTGCTGTCGCTTTCTGCCAATTGATACGAAACAGATAGAACACAGCTTCAATCTCTTTTGTGTCGAACCCTTCTGCTGTGCTGGCTGCTGAGCTGTGTAACAACCCCCCACTCCAGCTATCACCGTCTATACCTCAGGCATCCTCTCCCGCGGAGTTTTGCCAGTTTTGCCATGCAACGTAAAGCATTTAGCATAATAGTAAAATAAAAATTTGCTATATGTTAGATAATCCTTATCAATCTAGAACCTTAGGTACTAATGAAGAAACCTTTCAGGTCATCAATTGCCGTCGACTACTTAGAAACAGCGAGTCAAGCGTCAAGCCCACTCCAAACTGATGACATTAACCGACGCCGATCATCGGGCAATTCCTCCATTGCAGGTATGAACCCAGTCTCCATGGCCAGGAAATATTTGCAGGTTCTTTCCCCTCCATGCAACGCGATATCCTCAGCACTTCCACAACGGAAAGGCAATACCGACATAGCAACGCTACACAGTCCTCCGGGAGCGAGTCCATGTCTTGAGTATTCCGTAGTTATTAGTAACCCGCACCGTCGAGACCTCCAGAACTATGCTGGGTCCGGAGGACGCTACTCCGATTTATTGTTGTACACAGTACTCCGTACTCCATAATTTTCCCATGAATTCAAGACCAGAGATGCCACGGGTAAATAGGTAGAAGATACTGCTGGTCTGCTGATTAGAAAAAAAAAAAAATAAATAAAGATTTTTCACAAGCATTTTGCCTGCCATTGTTATTATCAGACAATTATCCAACAAGATAAGCACTTTTTAGTTAGTTTCCAATGTGACTGTCATACCTCTGCCAGTTGTCAAGAAATACCTAGCCACCACATGTATCTATCTACACCTGCACCATGAGATGGCAAATCCAACCCCCAGAAATAAACAACAAACAGACACGATTGATCTACAAGGCCAACCTATCACAGTCCCTAGAACCTCCAGGCGCCGAAGGTACCTGGGGGTGTCTCATCTGCAAGTAGTAGACGGGCTTGCCCGATTCGACCAATCCGGTGCCTCCAGCGCTGCCATGCTTGCAAGCGTCCCCCAAGTATGCATGGCCTCGTGAGACGGTGATGTACATGATGATGGAATGGCGCAGGATTCATATACAGAATCATTGCTTTGAGGAACCACTAACATAAATGACATATATATGGTGAAATACGTAGGACCTTTACAACATGAACATTTCAAAATTGACATAAGATGACGAAGAAGGTGTCTGCTAAAAGAGACTCACAAACCACAAGACTCCAGAGACATAGGTATCATGGCAAAAAGAAAGACATCTAAAAAAAAAAAAAATTCGCCTCCCTGATCGCGCCCAATTTATATAAAATCCTTCATGTTAAAAGCATAACAAGTCTCAGACGGCCAGCCGTCGGTCCCAACCGTGAGTCATTCCAAATTCATCAATTTCATCGTCCACTGCCGGGATCATGATGCCCTGGAATGGGTCCAAATCGTCCAGGGGCAATTGCAAATCATGGTATGGCAACCTATCTTCGGCACTCATGCTTTCGTCGGAGAAACTGAGGACGCTCTGCGGCGCCGGGTTGACCTCGTGGCTTGGTAGAACGTCGCTGTTGCTGCTCGCCGACCACGCTTCAGGTGACAGACCCGGAACATCCTTGGTCGATGCAGACGGCGGCATGGGACTTTGATCCGCTGGCGCAGCGTAGCCCGCAGTCAAAGAAGCAAATGGACCA